AGCAGCTGGTTTATATTTGGCTGTAAATTTATGGCCCCTTTTGTGTTCTTAATCCTCTTGCAAACGATATTAAAGCCTCAGACCTTTCTACTTGGTGCTAATAAGCTCAACACTTGTGTGCCTGCGAGGCAGAACATTAATTGTGGTGTGTTAATGAGCGATGGAGTTTTTGGACAGTGAGACAAACCAGGCTCCAATGTCTGCTTCCTCCTGGAGTCTCGGGCTCTGGGATGTCTCCCCAGCCCAAGGAGAGCTTTGATTTTCTTCTCTCTGTGCCTTTTTTTTAAGCCAGCTGTGCCTATTTTGGGATCTCTGTGCTGGAACACGAGGCCAGCGCTGCCCTGCCAAGGCTGGAGGCTTCCAGGGAAAGTCTGAGTCCCACCTTCCCCGGATCCTGCGCTGGGAATCTCCTTCCTGGCCCCGGGGCTGTGAGTCCTGGCCATTCCCAATTCCCATTTCCTCCTCCACTGAGCTGCTGAGGTCCCTCACAGGCACCTCAGTGCCTCCCCCTCTGCTGAATTCCAGCCTAAAGCCGGAGCCTGTGCTAGGACAGGCCTAAGAGCAGCTTTGCTCTGCCCTCCTTGCTTGTATCGACCCAGGGATTGACACTCCCAAAAGCTGGAGTGATGCACTGATCCCATGGCATTCCCGGGTGGAAATGGGAGCTGAGGATGCCCTGCAGGGACAGGCTGGGCCCACCAAACCCACAGCAGGAGGGGGAGAGCTCCGGAGGGTGGAGCAGGAGCAGCCTCAGCCACGCTCCATCCCTGCTCACCCCTTCCCAGTGAGGGCTCCCAGCCCTTGGGACACTTCACCTCTGAGCCCAGGGGATGATGGGCACCTTTCATGGGGTGGGGAGGGACGGGGATCTACCTCCCAGAAGCCAGAGACATGTCCAGGAGCTGCCCCAGGTCCTTCCCCAGCATCACATCAGCTCTGTGACCCAGCAGGAACAGCCTCTCCATAGACCTTTATCTCAGGAGGGCGGCTGAGGAGTTTGGAGTCGCTTTTATTCACTCCTTGTGAACTGCTCTTTATCTGCCAACTCCATCTGAGGCCAAGGGCAGAGCCCACGAGGGGACATCTGCAACAAGGTGACCCCCCTGACCCAGGCAATCCCTGCTCCCAGCCCTGCCCTCACCCTCCATCCCACCCCACTGTCACAGCCCTGCTCCAAGCTGACTCCACACCCTCTCTGATGACTGTACAGTTCATTTCCCAAAAAGGGGGGTGTTTTCCCCAATTTCTGGGAGCTTTGGCAGGCTCCTGCAGGGGAGATTTAACAATCTGGGGATGGGAAAGCCACCTCAATACGGCTTTGCTCTTCCCGAGCACCTTCCACACGTGCATCTCCGAGTCCTTCATCAACACCCACGGGATTAACACTCCTGGGAGCCCAGAGAAGAGGATATTCACCACTTTGTGGAATAGGATAATGGATCCACGCAGGATCCTGAAAACTAGCTGAGATAGGGAACTTAAAAACCTGAGAGAAGAGCTCCAGAGACTGAGTCATCCCCACCACCAGCACCACCAAGTGTCCTAGAGCGCATCCAAGAGCCGCGATTTGCTGATTCCTGAAGTTACACCGAAGAGCTAAAAAACTCCCTGGAAAGCTCCTTGGAAAACACATGGGCCAGCAAAGCAGCTGCTTCCTGGCCAGCTCCCAGGAAGCTCCTGCAGGAACATGTTGGGTTTCAGGCTCTTCTCTGGAGCTCATCCTCACATCTCGGCGACAATCTGCGCCATCGGGAGGAGACTCTGCCAGGGAATGATGAAAGAGCGTCTGCCAGGGCTGCTGCTGCAAAGAAATGCAGCTCCACGGGCTTCTGGAAGGGTGACAAGGACTTATCAGAGGGGTTGGCCGTGGAAGGGGTGGTTGGACACGATCTGGAGGTGACCCCGGTGGCTGGAGGGTGAGAACACGGATTCCACGCTCCGCCTTTCCTTGGCTTGCTGGAATCCCGGGCCACAAAGCAGCCTCCTGAGAAATTACACCCCAGTTCCTGGCAAGAGCAGAGAAGGGGGGAAGGACAAGCGAAGGCTCGAGCTCAGAGGTGAGGTATGAACCAGGACTAGAGAGGTGGATGGAACTGCTGCTCCAGAAAGCCCCAACAAATGCTTTAAAAATGGAATTATCAGCCACCAGAAAGGTTTCCCAGGAAACCCCACTGCTCTGAAACCTCACTACTGTGAAAGCACAGAGCTTTCACGCTGCTCTTGATTATTTTAACGTTTTTCTGAAGACTAAAACCCTTGCTATGAAAGTTGGTGAATTCTGGGGAAAACCTGCCTTGTGCCAACAAGTTCCTTGCTCGGTTCTCCAGCAGGCCAAGAGGAAGGTCCAAATTAAAACTTGTACCTGGAAGGAGCTTGATTCTTAAATATGGTCTGAGTTCTTCCTCCTTGGACCTCTCAGAGTCTCAGGGTGGGGAGAGTTAAAAGCCAATTTAACAGCAATAGAAGCTCAGGTTTAATGAGCACAGGCAGGGAAAAGGCACACCTGGCCTGGAAAAAGCTTTAATTGGCTCATCTGAGTCTTGACAAGAACAGAATGCTCGATTTTCTCCCCTTTGGAAGCAGGTTCACCTGGTCTCTGGGTGCTCTGGGTGCAGGGCAAGGGATGGGCTGTAGGGGAGAGGTGATTCCTCAGGGATCAGGAGGGATGCACGAGATGCTCAGCTCCCAAAAGCAGTAATTAAGAGGAGATCAAGTGAAGAAATCGGAATAATCCCCCTGGTTTCCAAAGCTCAGTCCCACGTTCTCAACCTCACGACAGTGAAAGAGGAAGATTAAGGAATAATGAGCTTCTGGAGCGTCCCCAGAGCTGCTGATGCAGGGAAAGTGTTTGGAAAGGTTTGCTGGAGCTCGAAGCAAAGGTGTGAGAGCAGGAGAAAGGGTCATCCTGGGACAGTGTTTTGTTGGAATACCTGTTCCCAGGAGGCTTTAGCCACCCCTTAAATGGGAATTAGGATCCTTGCCAGCTTGGGATTACATGTGATGCCAAAAACCATAGAATCATGGAATGTTTTGGGGTGGAAGGGACATTAAAGACCATCCAGTTCTAACCCTGCCACGAGCAGGGACACCTTCCACTAGCCCAGGCTGCTCCAACCTGGCCTTGGACACTTCCAGGGATCAGGGGCAGCCACAGCTTCTCTGCCCAACCTGTGCCAGGGCCTCCCCACCCTCACAGCCAGCAATTCCTTCCCAATATCTAATGCCTAATCAGGGAGGAAAAAGGGTTTTGAGGAGAAGATTCACAAAATCCAGACCAGCTTCTGGACTCAGAAAACTCCGAAAGCATTTGCTTTCCCAGCTTAGGGTGGGCCACGTGTTTCCCACTAGGAAAAACCACCCAAGTGAGGACATCAGGTGGAACTATGGAGTGAGGGAGGTTCTCCCTGCCCTGTCCTGCTGGCACTGCTCCTTCCTGGAGCTGGCACTGCCCGCCCGAGCTGTGGGAGAAATTACAAATCCACCGGGATCCCACAGGGGTCAGAACTCCCTTTTCCATGAGCCCACTCTCCTGTGTCTGTTCCTGAGGGCTGAATTCCCTGGTTTTATTAAGGAGATCCCAACCAAAGGCCACTTTCCAGCAGCAAGGAATCATCTTGCTGTGCAAGAGGGATAAAAGAAGCAGGAAAAGAGAACAGAGACACCTTCAAACCGCTGCCTGATCCCTTGATAGGAAATAAATAGGAGCCAAAGCTGCTGCCGAGGAAAATCCATCACTCCCCACATCCCAGTCCTGCCCCAAATTCTGCTCCCTGGTGGAGGCAGCCCCGTGAACTCCTGCCCTTTCTCTTGGACAGCAAAGTTGGAAAAAATACCTCCCTCCTTAAGAAAAAAAAAACAACAACAACATAATCCCAAATTGCAGGCCCTGGGTTTGTCGAGTCCGGGGCTGGGATTGACACTGTTGGTGTTTCTTGTGGTGTCACACTGAAAAATGTGACTAATGGGTGTCATGTGCTGTTTGTTTTCTCCTCATCTCCCCCAGGAGCACAAGAGGGTTTGGAAGGGATTTTACAGACACCAAAATAGGAGATCCTGCTGGAGCAGAGCGGAGCGGGGACCCGGCCCCGGGGCGGGGATGGGGACGCTCTGGTGGCACTGGGGACGCTCTGGTGGCACTGGGGACGCGCTGCCCGTGCCAGCACTGCTGCCTCCACACAGCACACACACCTCCTCCATCCCAGATCCGCTCCCTGCCCTCATCCAGCTGGGAATGAGCCTGTCCCGTGGGGGGCGGGATGTGACAAGCCACCAGCCATTCCACCAGAGTGTCACCACTGCCACCGCCTTTGCCACCGCAGGGAGGGGACATGAGGACCATCCCCCACATCCTGCTGGGGCTCAGCACCCCCAAAACCAGCTGCCCTGTGCTCCCCACCTGCCTCGGGGGCTGCAAGGGGGGGCTCTCACCCCAAGGGAGTGACACAAGAAGGTCTCAGCCCCCCAAAGCCAGCTCAACCCCACCCCCCCCAATTCATCCTGAGCCCCCCAAATTCCCTGAGATCCAAGGAAACACTCAGCACCACCAGACCAACCCCGAGGGGTCTCCCTGCAAAAGGGGGCACACTCCGAGTCCCTCCTTCTCCACTCCCCTCCCTCCGGGCTCATGTTGCCCTTTAAGAGCCCCCCGAGTCCCGCGATCGCCCCCACGCGTGTCACCGGGCACGGGGGGGCTGGAGATGGAGGGGGGAGAGGGACAACACCCCCGTCCTCAGCAGAGCCCCCTGTGTGCCCCCCCGGGCCCCTTTAACCTCCTCAAAGCAACCAGCGTGGACACGGCGCGGGGGGAGCCCACGAGGGACACCCCAGGCACGGGGGGGAGACGTGGGGAGGGAAAGGGAAAAGGGAAATGAGGGTGAGAAGGGAGGAAGGGGAGAAAGGAAGAAGAGGAGAGGGAGAGAAGGGAGAAAAGAAAGGGGAGAAGTGGAGAAAGGCAAAAAGGGAAGGTGTTTCCACGCCCCGTCTCGCGCGGGAACCCTCACCTTCCTCTTGTGTCGGTGGATGTCGCCGATGGAGTTGGCCACGGTGTTGGGTCCCAGCAGCATGCGGGTGCTCCGGGGCCACTCGGTGCTCACCAGGTGGTGCTCCCCCATCAAGATCTTCCGCACGTTCTCCGCCCCCGTCACCCGCACCAGCGGCCGCCCCAGCAAGTGCGTCTTGAAGACGTTCCCGTACTTCTCCCGCCGGGAAGACTGGAAGCAGGAGCCCTGCGGGGGTGGATCGGGTGTGGGGTGGGGGGGTCGGTGTTACCCCACGGCACCTCCGCGGGGATCCCCGCGCCGGGGACAGCCAGGGGGTGGTGGTGGTCTGGGGGTGGGGGTAGAAATGGGGCGGGGGGAGAGGGGTAACCCCGGAATGCCACCTCCGCTCCCGCCGAAGGGGCGCCCGGCGCTGCCCGCCCCGCTCCTCCCGCAGCCCGGCGGGGGTCGGTGCCCTCCGGCCCCCTTCCTCCTCCTCCTCCTCCCTTTACCTTCCCAATCACTTTTAAACGTATTTTTATTTTCCCTCACCCGCCCCCTCCATTTTTTTCCTCCTTCCTTCCCCCCGCCTTTTTTCCCTCTTTTTTTTTTTTTTTTTTTTTGTCTCTTTTTTTTCCCCTCTCGCTCCGGCTGATTTTACTCGAAAGGCTGCAATTTGCTTAAGTAAATCTCCAGATTTCAGGGAGTTTAATAACTTTCCCACATGCTCCAGGGGCTTTTGTCGGCAGAGAGGCGGACAGAGCCGCAGGAGTAGCGGGGTGGTGGGGGGGGTGTCCCCCCAAAAAACCCCCCATCCCGAGCGGGGAGAGGCGCTGCGAGCGCCGCAGCCGCCGTGCTGGGGTGTGAGTGCGTGTGTTTATTTTGAAACAAAAGCGCGGTTGTGAGTTTCAGATGTTCAGGTGACCCTGTTTCTTGATCTGCGTAAATATAATTAAAGTCCTTTTTGTGGCATTAATAAAGAGTTATTTGTACACCATTTCCAGGGCAGCACAAAGAGGACCTTTATGTGGCAGAAGTTTCGAATGGAGTCCAATTTATACAAAATTTTGTATTTTTAGCCCTGCGCTCTGTTTGGACGGAGCCTGTGGAAAAGCGAGAACCCTTTTCTGGTCCCCCTGTAAAAATCTGATAAATTTCTTTAAAAAATAAAGCCCTATTGAGAGCGTGCCGTTAACCCCTTCGGCGCCGGGGGCCGGCGGGGCTGCGGGGCCGCCGTGTCGGGGCTTCCCCGGCGCCGGGGGTAAAGGGGACACCGGGGACGCCGCCGCTCTCCCCGCCGGGACCGGGCTCTGCCCTGCCCCGGGCGGCTCCGTCAATGAAAGAAAGGCGGGAGCATCCTCGCCGGGCTCCCGTTTGATTATTATAATTATTCGGAGGATTTTTCTGGGGTGGGAAACCCTCGGGCTCGTTTAGCTTCGGGGGTTCCCTCCTGGGATGCTGCGAACTCCCCCCCACCCAACCTCCCGGGGTGCCCCCAGCGCGGGTCGTGGCTCCCCCCGGAGCGGGGCACCCCCCGTCCGCCCTCCCGCCCGCTCCCCTCCTCTTTAATTTGGGTGTTTTCTCGCCGGTTTTTTTGGCAGTCGCCCTCTCGCCTCGCGGGCCGAGGGGATCCCGCTCCGCCCGCCGCTTGTTCGGCGTTTAGCGAGGTTAATCCCGGGTTAATCTCCCGATTACCTCCGCGGGCTTCCCCCACGGGCGGACCCCGAGCGAAGCCGCCGGGAGCAGCCCCGGGAAGGCGGCTGGGACGGGACGGAGCCCTCGGCACGGGCGGAGCGGGGGGGACACGACCAGGGGAGCCCCCGCGCCGAGCCCGCCACATCCACCCGGGGCTGCTCCCACCCTCGGCTGCAGCAGGACGGAGCGTCTGGCGAGAATTTAGGCTGAGGAGGGGGAGCAAAGAAGGGGTCTGGCAGCCTTAGGGGCCACCACGAGCCTTCCCAGCCCCCGGCAGAGCCCGGGCGGGAGCGCAGCGAGGGGAGAGCCCAGCCCGGCCCGGCTCCCTCGGTCCCCCCGCATCCAACACCGACCCCTCGGCGCCGGCTCCCTCCCCAGCTCGCCGAAGAGCCCGCATGATGCAATCGAAAGGGAAAGACGAATTTAAAAAAAAAGAGAAAGAAAGAAAGAAAGAATAATAATAATAATAAACACTTAAAAATGAAAGAAAAAAAAAAAAAGCCGGTCCCAACCCACCTCCAGGGAGGGCAGCGAAGGGAATCCTCCTTACCTGCAGGAGCCAGTGGAAGGTTTCTCCGATTAAAGGGAATCCCATGGAGCCTTTAGGGATTGGTAGCTTGCAGGTTTTGTCGCGGGTGGCAGCCCAGCGGAGCTGCCACAGCTGTTGGGACACGGCCAGCAGCAAAGTCAGTGACACCAAGCACGCGGCGAGGGTAGCCAGTGCCGAGACGAGATCAAAACTTGCAAAAAGCATATTTGGAAGAAGGAGGAGGAGGAGGGTGGGGAGAGAAACAGCCCCTTGACAGGCACCACACTCGCACCCACACACACACAACGCACGCACGGGGGGAAAAAAAGGGCGATTGCGGAGCGCGCGTTAAAAGCTGCCTGGGGGGTCCTTGGGGCGAGGGGGGCCGGGCTCGCCCCCCTCTCTCCGCTGGCAGGTTGGAAAAACAACCGGGGAAAAAGAAGTGGGGGAGAATGAAAAGGATAAAAAAAAAAAAAAAAAGGCAAAAAGCTGTTTCTCCTCCGCCTCTCTCTCTCTCTCTCTGAAAACTTTGTTTGGGATAAACTTGACAGAGTGACACAGGCGGAAAAAAAATAAACAAAATAAAAATAAAATAAAATAAAAAACAAACCCAACACACAAGCAGAAAACACCCCACGCTGCGCGAAAAGGTGGGGGGGAAGGGGAAAAATTAAAGAGGAAAAAATAACAAGAGGCACCCCCAAAAGAAAGGGGGTGGGCGAGGTTGAGAAGGCAAAAAGTCGAGGGTAAAAATTCAAAAATTAAAAAAAAAAAAAGGGGAAAAAAAAAGGAAAGAAAAGCCCTGGAGTGAAAAAAAAAAAAAAAAAAAACCCCAAAAAAGTCCAAATGCAGATGCTCTGGCTCCCGCTCGCTTTCAAGGCAAAGCCACACACACCAGAAGGGAGGGAAAGAAAAAAAAAAAAAAAAGGAAAGAAAAAAGAATTTAAAAAAAAAAAAGGAGCGAGATTTAAAAAAAAAAAAAGCCCAAAAAAAGTTAAAAAGAATCTTAAAATAATTCAGGCACGACCCGGAGAGATGTAAGAATTAAATAGCTATATATATGTATCTACACACACGGAGCGAGACAGCTCGGCTTATATCCCTATCTCTCTCCCTCTATATACATATAAATATCTCCCTATAAATATATATCTTATTTGTTAGCCCCGGAGTTTCACAGACTTTGAGCGAAAGAAGAAGAAGGAGGAGAGGGGAGGCAGGGCTGCCGGGCAAAGCCCCTCTCAAATGTTCAGTTTGAGTAAAAAAGAAAGTCAAATGTGTGTTTATATAGAGGCGGGGAAGCCGGGGCTGGGCCGGCCGCCAGCGCGGCTGCTCCCCCCGCGCCCCCACCCGCACTTCAGAGGCTCGGGGGGGCCGGGCCGGGCCGGGGGACGCGGCGCTGGAGCGTGCGAGCCCTGGCCCGCCGCCCGCAGCACGGTCACGCCGCGCTCCTCGGCCTCATCCTCCTCCTCCTCCTGTTCTCCTCCTCCTTCTCCTCCTCCTCCTCCTGCGCCGCCGCCTCCTCCTCGGTACCTTCGGCCTGCGGAGAGAGAGACGAGCGCGGCTCACTCAGCCCCATCTCCCCGCCTGGGTTGCCCCCCAATCCTCCCCGAAATGATCCCCCCTCCCTCCCCGCCCCGATATTTAACCCCTCGGTGCGCTCCTCGCCGTGATTTCGCCCTACTCCCCACCCCCCAAACATTTTCCACTCCAGGATTCCCAGCCCCCTCCCACCTCCCTTGGTCGTTTCCCCCATCCCGTAATTAATCCGGGGTCGTTTCCCCCAGTACTTAATCCTTGATCATTTCCCCCACCCCGTAATTAATCCGGGGTCCTTCCCCCCAGTACTGAACCCTCGGTCAGTTCCCCAATATTTACTCCTTTATCACATCCCCCGTGTGAGGTCCCCCAGTATTTAACCCTTTATTATTCCCCACCCCCTTGCCACGATCCCCCAATATTTAACTCTCGGTGCTCTCCTTGCAATGATTCTCCCTTCCCCCCCCCATCATTTTCCACTCCAGGATTCCCAGCCCCCCTCCCCTTCCTTGATCGTTTTCCCCCAATACTTAACCCTTGATGCGAGGATCTCCCCAGTATTTAATCTCTAAGGACTCCCCCTTGTGATGATGCCCCCCAATATTTAACCCTCGATCATTTCCCCCTTGCCACGATCCCCCCAATATTTAACCCTTAATGTTCTCCTTGCCATGATTCTGCCCCTCCCTGCCCCCAATCTTTTTCCACGATTCCCAGCCCCCCCCCCTTCCTTGGTCACTTCCCCATTTGAGGGTCCCCCCCAATCCTTAACGACACCCCCTTGTGATGGTCTCCCCAATATTTAACCCTTTATTATTTCCCCTTTGCCACGATCCCCCTCATATTTAACCCTCGATCCTTTCCCCCCCTTACCAATCCCCCCACCTCCCCAATATTTAACCCTTGGTGCACTCCTCGCTCCTTGCTCCCATCATTTTCCACTCCAGGATTCCCAGCCCCCCCTCCCTTGATCGTTTCCCCCGTGCGAGGGTCCCCCAATATTTAATCCTTAATGACTCCCCCTTGTGATGATCTCCCCGATATTTAACCCTCGATCATTTATCTCCCCCTTGCCACGATTCCCCCAACATTTAACCCTCGATGAGCTCCTTGCAATGATTCCATCCCCTCCCATCATTTTCCACCCATAAGGATTCCCAGACCCCTGCCCCTCGATCGTTTCCCCCCCAATACTTAATCCCTCATCATTTCCCCCGTGAGGGTCCCCCCAATATTTAATCCTTAATGACTCCCCCTTGTGATGATCCCCCCAATATTTAACCCTTTATTATTCCCCCTTTGCCACGATCCCCCCAATATTTTACTCCTAATTATGTGCTCTTTGCAAGGATTGCCCCCTTATTATTTCCCCCTCATGATGGCCCCCCCCCAATATTTAACCCTCGATTATTCCCCCTTGCAACGACCAACACAATATTTAACCCTCGATATTTCCCCCTCCTGATGGCCCCCCAATATTTAACCCCTAACCATCCCCCCTGGCAATCCCCACAAGGATTACCCCAAATCATTTCCCCCCTTTGCAATGACTCTCCCCCCTCCCCTGATTTACCCCCTCATGATTTTCCCCTTTCACTGATTTACTCCCCCCGATAATTCCACCCCCCGCCCTTTTCCCTGCTTGGATGATTTACCCCATTGCAGATTTACCCCCTCAATTATTTACCCCCACAAGGATTTACCCCCTGCAACGACCCCCCCCCCAATTATTTACCCACTTCCATTAATTCTCCCCCCAATTATTTGCCCCTATTTATCACCACCCCCTGCAATGATTTACTCCCTGCCCCCACAAGATTTTTTGGGATTTGCTCCATCCCACATGCCCCTATTTCATATTATTGGGGAAAGATGGGGGTGGGGGATATTCCTGCCCCTCTCCCCCGGTGCTTTCCAGGACAGGGGGTCCTGCTTTATCCCAGGGGTGTCCCCAGACCGTGCGTCTCCCAGGAGGCTCCCAAATCCCCCCCAAATCCCCTCCTAACCCCCCTCCCCGCACTGGAGGCAGGGACAGGTATCCGGGCTGCCGCTCGCAGCCACTTTGGCCAAGCATTTGCTTCGGATTACAGGAAAAACAAAAGTTCATTGAGTTCCCCCCTTCTCCTGCGCTCCCCTCTCGCCCCCCCGGCCCCCTCCAGCCTCCCCAGCTGGTTTGAGTCTGTGCCCGGGGGGATTGCGGAGCTCGGGGAGGGGGGCTGAGCCCCTCCCGGCTGCTGCGGCTCCCGAGGAGTCCGGGATGTCCCCCCACCCTTCCTTCTCCTTTTGGGGGGTCAGGTTGGAGCCCCTTTCCTGCGTCCTCCCCCACTCCGGTTCGATGCGGGATCCCACCAGAGCATCCCGGAGCGGGTGCAGCTTCCCGGATCCTTGGGAACCCTCACTCCAGGCAGTCCCACCCCGCTCCTGGTATCCCCCCTCTCCGGTGTATCCCTGAGCAGAGACCCCCCAACCTCCCCACTACCATCAGACATCCCGCCATCCCCATGCCGGCGCAGGGACCCCTCCCATTCCCACACCGCCTTTCCCCCACGCCCTGGGACCCCGCTGTCCCTCCCCGCGGGTGGATCCCGGGGCTGGAGCCCCCCCAATTCCCGAGGGAAGGACCCGCATCCACCCCCACTCCCCGCACCCCGCTCACTCTTTGCCCTACGGCCCCACCCGGTGGCGGCTGCTGGTACTGCAGGAGGCTGCAGGTGGCGGCCGAGCCCGAAACGCCCCCAATCCCGCCCCTGTCCCACCCTTATCCCGCCCCTATCCCGCCCTTCATCCCACCCCCCATCCCACCCCAGGCCCCCCTCCCTGCGGGGTGTCCCTGCGGCTCGGCCCGAATCGCCTCTCCCAAAGCATCTTCCCCAGAGCCCTTCCCAAAGCGTCCCCCCGAAGCCCCTTCCCGAAGCATCTTCCTGAAGCGCTGCTGCAAGAGCCCCACGCAGGTATCCCCAGGCGCCTTCCCCCCAGAAAACCTGCCCTAAATACCTCCTCAAAGCCCCTTCCTAAAGTGTTTTCTTGCTCGATGCGGCTCCCAAAAGCACCTTCCCAAAGCACCTCACGCTGTCCCGATTCACCTCCCCAAATCACCTGCCCTAAAGACCTTCCCCGAATCCCTTCCCTAAAGACCTTCCTTCAATCCCTTCCCTGAACCCCTTCCCTAAAGACCTTCCTTCAATCCCTTCCCTGAACCCCTTCCCCAAAAACCTTCACAAAATACCTTCCCCCAGCATCTTCCTGAAGTCCCTTCCCAAGGCACCTTCCCAAAACACTTGCTCCAAGTGACTCCCAAAAAGCACCTCACACTATTCCAACGCACCTTCCCAAAAGATATTCCATAAATACCTCCCCCAAACACTTTTCCTAAAGTCTTTCCTACAACAACTTCCCAAATCACCTTCCTGAAGCCTGTTCCCAAAGCACCTTCCCCAAACACTTTCCCAAAGCACCTCCCACCTTCCCTAAATACCTTCCCAAAGTGTCTTCCTTCCCAAAGCATCATCCCAAAACACCTCCCCAAAACACCTTTCCTAAAGAACTTCCTAAAACAAACTCCATTCCCACTCCCAACATGGAAAACACCCCGGGATCCCCCAGACCACGGGGCCCAGCAAGGAGGGAGGCTTTGCCTCCTCCTCCCTTTTCCCATGGGAAAACCCATCCCTGGGATGCTCTCAGACCCCAAAGCAGCAGAGCTCATAGCCCAAAATGTCTCCCACTTCTTTCCAAATGTGTGGAAAAGCCTCTCTGAGGGGTGGGAGAGGGGCAGGAATGAGCCACCAGAGGGGATTTCCATAAGAACCTGTTTCTGGTGGAAATTCCTGGATAAGGGGAAAAGCCTAAAAGATCTTTGTGTTTGTTTAAGGGTTTCTTTTCCAGCACAATCCCACCCTCTGGAGGTAAATCCAGAGGGAAAAGGGCTTTTCCAAGGTCACTGGTGGAGCTGAAACCAGGTGGGTGGGATGCATCCACGGCTCGGCATTCCCAAATTTAATGGAATCTTATCATGATCCATAATTAAAGCCAAGAGCCTGGGAAATTGGAGATGGGGGGAGCAATAATTCCTGAGGCAGCAGCAGGATTGGGAAAACCAGCCTTTCCCATTGGGAATGGGTGAATGCCAGGGATTCATCCTCCCGGGATGCAGCAGCGGGTTTGGGGCTCAGTGCAACCAGTTCCATCCCAGCACTCAATCCCAGTTTTCCCCAGTGGAAATTCCCCAAAACTGGACCCCAGAGTCCAATTTTGCAGCAAAAACGGGATCGTGAACTTTCCTACTGTGGAAAAACCAGGGAATTCAGTGCCTGGAGGGAACAACCTGCCCCAGGAAAAACTCCCTCTGGGATGTCCCTTCTCTGACGCTTCTCCGTGCCCTGAAGCACCGAAATTCCCCCTTTTTTTCCCCAAAAAATTTAATGGGGCTTGACTTCACAGCTCATCCTGCAGCTCTCCCAAAAAACTCCAGCGCTGTTAAATTCCAGCTGGAGAGAGCAGCAGAGAGTCCTGGAGGTTCAATATTCCTTGGATATCCTCATTCCCAGGGAACACGAGGGGTTGTTCTGCCTTCCCAGGGCATCCCCAAAGAGGTGCTGGATTTGCTCCCTGCCCTCAAAACCTCCCTCTGGGCTTTCTCCTTCCCTGTTTTCCTGCCCTTTGGTGTCCCTAGAAGAAGCAGCCAAATCCCCCCAAATCCCCCTCGGCTGCACGGACAGGGTGGATGCCCGGAGAAAATTCCAGAGGGACATCCAGGTAATGTTTAGGATGAATTATTCTTTTCCCAAGGGAACAGTCACTTCTAAAATCGCCCTTTCTTTTTATCCAACTTTCATGTCCCAATCCAAGACTTTTTTCACTGCACCATCTGAAAAATTTCATTTAAACCACCCCAAATTCACCCCAAAGT